GATCGGGAGCCAGTGGACGAATTCATCACTTCATTGTACAAATTGGCTGATAGTTGCGAATTTGAGGGTCTTCATGAGCAGTTGATCCGTGACCGAATAGTGGTTGGAGTGAGGGACAAAGCTTTATCTGAAAGAATGCAGTTGGACAGCGAACTGACTTTGGAAAAGGCGGTGAAAATGGTTCGACAGCAGGAAGCCGTTCGACAGCAGCAAGTCGACCTGCAGCGTCCCTCAACAAGCCAAAAGGTCAATCAGGTGAAGTTCAACTCGAAGAAACAATCACCGAAACAACAACAGCAGCCTTCGAGGAAGAAGGAGAAGTCAGCCAAAACAAGATCACGATGTCCAAAATGCGGAGGTTTCACCCACAGGGAAGGACAGGCTTGCCGTGCTGAAGGACAAAGATGTAACCTATGTTCAAAAACTGGCCATTTTGCAAATTGCTGCCCAGATAAGCAGGCGAAGACTGCGGAAGTCAAAGCTGTTTCTGAACTTGATGAAGAAATTGGTTTTCTCCTGGAGGTCTCAGCTGTGGAGGATTCATCTAATCTCGATGATGATGAAGGCGAGTGCAGGAGGCGATGGACAGCAGAAATCCAAGTGAACGGGAAAAAGGTGAAGTTCAAGCTCGACTCCCAGGCGGATGTTACATGTGTTCCTCTGTGTCTCTTCAAGAAGATAATGGGACAGCAACGACTAGTGGAAAGTGATATCAACATTAGAGCTGCTGAATTCTCCGAACTTCAGACTGTGGGTATGTTTATATCAACGCTGCGAAATGGCAATTATGAAATCAAGGAGAAGATTTATGTCATTCGTCGTTTGAGTGAACCTCTTCTGAGTCGCCGGGCATGTGAGCTCTTGAACCTGGCGAGGCGGATTGAAGTGGTTGCGACGAGAATTAACCCGATCAAGGAATTCCCTGAAGTATTTGAAGGACTGGGACAGATCGGAAACCCTTACGAAATCAAATTGAAACCTGGAGCAAAACCATATGCTGTGCATACTCCTCGACGGGTACCAATACCTTTGATGGAAAAGCTCAAAACAAGATTGGAAGAGCTCGACAAAGACGATATCTTGACGAAGATTTTTGAAGCTCAACAAGAAGATACGACCCTGAAAGCAGTAGTCAACTACCTTGAGCAAGGCTGGCCAGATAAGAAGAAGATGTCACAGGCTCTGCTCTCTTATTGGCATGTCAAGGATGAACTCGGCGTTCAAAATGGACTACTGATGCGTAGCTGTCGTCTTGTTATTCCAGCAAGTATGAAACTGGAGATCCTAGATAAGTTGCACGCTGGGCACTTCGGGATTACAAAAACAAGACTTCGCGCACGTGAGACGGTATGGTGGCCTGGAATTTCGGAGGAGATCGCGGAAACGGTCAGAAAGTGCAGTGTCTGTATCCAGGAAGCCGTCTCAAAACATGAACCTTTGATACCAACCAACTTTCCTACACGACCGTGGCAAAAGATTGGAATGGATTTGTTCAAGTTCGAGAATAAGTGGTATCTAGTCGTCATTGACTATTATTCTCGCTTTCCTGAAATGATTCAGCTGGATCGGCTCACAGCCAATGTGGTGGTGCGTAGTTGCAAATCCATATTTGCCCGACATGGAATACCAGAAACTGTTGTAAGCGATAATGGGACGCAATTTGGAGCTGCTCGTGAATTTGCAAATTTCGCAAGGCAGTACGGATTCACACATGTCACTTCAAGTCCTCGATTCCCGCAGAGCAATGGGATGGCAGAAGCAGGTGTGAAAATTGCTAAGTTGATCCTCAAGAAAAATCAAGACCCATCGCTTGGACTCCTGGAGTATCGATCGACCCCTTTGGAGAACGGTTACAGCCCTGCTGAGCTTCTCATGGGACGTAAACTCCGAACGACCTTGCCAATTGCACCAGAGAATCTTAATCCAAAGTTGGTGGACTCTCAGACCCTGAAAAGAAAGGAGGGGAGAAGGAGAAAGGATATGAAATCCAGATATGATCGACGCTGCGGAGCTACGGACATGGAGGAGCTATCCGAAGGTGACACGGTTTGGATTACAGATATGCGAATCTGGGGGATTGTAAAGCAGAAAGCATCGACACCAAGGTCATATATGGTTGATACTCCAGTTGGGACTTTACGTCGAAACAGGTTCCATCTACGAAAAGGAGTTACAGTGCAATATCCAGCCGACCCATCGACGCCGACCTTTTCGGGGGAGGAACTGGTTGAAAATGAAAAGACCCCAGTTGTGGATTATCCCTCTAACGACTCAGAAGACGGCCAGATAAGAACCCGGAGTGGACGAATTGTTAAACCTGTGGATCGCCTTCATTATTAATTATATTATGCATTTAAAGTTTGTAATGTATATATATATTTCAAATCTTAAAAAGGGGGATGTGCTGAGAACATGTACGAGAAGATGTACGTATGTTTTCCCACGTGACGCAGCGGAGCGTGACCTTGCCTGCACGGGTGAGTCAGTTGTTGTTTTGAACTCTGTATGGATGGACGTTAAAACAATAACATATATACTTTAAATAATATATTTTATGTTTGTTTATTAAATTATTCTAATTATATATATTTTTTACTATTCAATCCCTTGTTTATATGTATATAGTCATGGGAAAGCAAAGGAGGAAGGAGAGAACATAGAAGTACAGTTCGGTTCAAGCCATTCAAACTTCACCAACTTCTCCAACAGAATCCAATATCACAGAAGTCGAAATTAAGTTTACCACAAGGAGGAGGTATTGAGATGTTGACGTCGAGAGATTCAGCTTTATATTAATCTCTTTCAGAGATATTCGTAATTAGTCTTATTAAATTTTGACTATTGACTCTCTCATAATTTTCCTAGAAATTGTATTAATATTTCCCCGTTATATATAATTGTAAAATCATAACATATACAATGTAAATTTATATAATCATGTATATTCCTTTCGAGAGAGAGAGATATTTCTAATTGAAACTATCTGAATGTAAAATGTAGAAATTTAATAATCCCAAAAATCATATCCAATCAATTTAATCGATCCAATATGTAAATAAATAAGATCATTTTGTACAAACACGCTCCTATAATATGTAATATATACAACATATTTAGATCTAATTTTGAAAATATATAAATCTAAATATGACTTGATACTGAAATCCTTGATGGGTTATATATATGTTCATCATATAACTCTTGATTATAAATAAACGTTCTTCCTTGGTTTTTATAATATTATAAAATAAATGAAGCTTCCAGGGTAAAGTTTCTTGAAGGACTGACAAGTCAGAAAGCTTGAAAATAAAAGGTTGCACAAGAAACTTAACCCTGGAAGTTTTATTCATTTTATAAGATATATTGTCACGTATAAAATAAGATAAACTTCAGAATGACACGGCAGTTTATTCAAGGCAAAAACAAGATAGAGGATATATACTTATAACCCAGGTTCCTGGAGCGCCAACTACCCGCAAAAAACAAATCAATATTTATAAAATACAAGATAAGCAATGAGTAAAGTTTCCAGAGTAACACAAAATATAAATATAAAAAAAACTTTATATAAAATATAATAAATACTTTGCTACAATATTAATATGCATATTAAACAATTATTCATTGAAAATATTATATTTTTGAGTCATATTTCTGAGAAAAGTAAATTATTTCAAAAATTTTATATGCAAATTAAATAACTTCCTAAAAGTTATGCAAGTATGAATACAGCTACACAGTACATTCTAGCATTATATATAAAAACTTCTCTAATTATTTCTAAGTCAAGAAAGGTAAAACTATGTTTAATTAATAATGGTGAAGCTATTCAAATATAATAATAGGAAAAGGTAAAAATATAAGAAAATCGCCACTATTAAAAAAGAAATTCCACACGCCTGACCTAAACACTCACTTCCACATGGCATGCTATGGAAAATACCTCATTAAATTTAATCTTATTGTGAGGTTTCTCCTCTCACGTGTTAGGTCGCACACTCTTAATGACACACACTTTTAATGACCCCGGAATAAATAGAGCTTTCATTTATATATAAAATTGTTTTTTAAAACTTTTTATTGTTCTGTATGTAATATTTTTAAAATACTTAATACTAAAGGTTGAGATCTAAATATTCTAAATGAAACAATTCTTGTGGAGAGAATTTTTTTTAAATAATTTAGAGAAAAATTAACTTGATCACAAAATGAAAAATGCATATCAATTATTCACATGAATAAGGTATGCGTGCAGTTATTTGAAAAAGCAAAATTACACTTTTTATGTCATCAAAAGCCTATATTTTTAAAACTATTACTATCAGCATTATTGGTTAATTTGCATTCTTCGTTTTATTTATTTATGTACAGGATGTACAAGAGTACTAAATAAATTGGAACTCGGTGGAAAGGTGGTCTAAACCGTTTGTTTTGGACTGCTACGACCCGGGTTCGATTCCCGCATTGGGCACTTTTTTTATGATTTTAAAAAATGCTCCGATGGCCCCCGATTCTTGAAAAAGTCCAGCCCCACCAGCGAGTGCAAGTAACCAAACGGGGCTCTGGCACATTTGTAAGTGCAAAGTCGAACTGCTTTTCACATGTGTAGACATGTGGTGCACTTACAGTAAAAGCAGTCGCCAACTTCTACCCACCATGATTATCACGGTCTGTATCACGTGTACTAGGGATAAGCAAAATAAATGAATAAATAAATTGGCTTCTACTGGAAAATGCTAGAACGAATGTGTTTTAACGACATTCACATTGTTTTATCTAATTGGTATAGTTATAAAGCTATACAAACAGTTTAACCGCATAAGTTTCTTTTTATTTATGAAAAATCATTTTTAATTTCAAAGAGAAATATTTAATATTTCTAACTTTTGGATGACGTATGAGAAGGTTGAATATATGAAGAGTGATGGTCTATATATGAATGGATGACGTATGGAAGGGTGAAAAATATGAAGAGTAATGGCGAACGGAAAAATCAAAGTGTCCAGGAGCGGGAATCGAACCCACAACCTTCTGCTTACCGGGCAGGTGCCATGTCACTAGGCTATCCTGGACGTATTTCTCCGTTCGTATGTTATAGTTATCATTATATCATGATTATTATAATGGGCCTTAGTATTTTGTCCTCGTTGTCAGAAGAGAGAGAGAGACTTTCGATAAAGATATAAAATAATGATAACTTAAAATTGAAATGATAAATTATGACTATTAACTCATAAATTCCATCATAAATGATCTGTTCAAAACATCATGTACGCACATTTCCTCATTTATATAGAATCATAGTGACAGATACATACAAACTTTGAGTTTTATGGTATGGAGAGGAGTCATTTAACTTTCTATACATTTATTTCAATCTCATAGTAGAATTATTTTCAATTTCGGAGCTCTGGAATAAGAATTTGACGAGAAGGGGGTGGATATAAGAGTGCCATTGAATATTGTATCAAAGTAGCTTACATTCTAAGGCCAGAATTAACGAAAAGAAAATCAAAATGCGTGATGTGCCCAAAAACCTATACTAGGTGATATAAAGCTCTGGCCTAGGAGTTTAGAATGAGATTGAAACTACTTTATTTCAATATTCATATAAGGTATATAAGCCTAGGAGTTGAATAGTTAAAATAACCAAAATATATAAATTCCTCTCATGAGAATCGCTAATGTTCTTTCTGATATATCACATAATTCTTAGTTTTTTTAATAATCTATATATATAGATCATAAAAACTAAGAATCAAACATGATTAGTAGTATATTATAATTAAAAACGGGTTTATCCAATAAATATCAAAAAGTGGAATTTTGGTATATATATTGTTATGTATAGTTTAGTATTTTCTGAGAAATAGATGAAAACTAATATATTTTATTAACAACTCCGTCTCTATGTATCATATATATATATTTAAATATATATAATACACTCAACACAATGTGAAAAAATAGTACAAATGTAATATTGTACTGGGATAAAGTGCATAAATTAAGAAAAAGGGCTTCTTCTTATCGAGCAACTGAAAGTTGCTGATGGCTTGCGCCATCTATCGGAATAAATATCAACTATTCTCGTTGATTTTTAATTATTCCAGAATTGGCCAAATACCGATTCTTGATTAATCAAGAAAAGCTAACCACGGACGCGTTTCGGGCTGTTGGCCCTCATCAGCGTGGTGCAAGCTGTACCTCAACGACCAAAATAAAATTGGTCATTAAGGCATCCTGAAAAATCATTAAACGGGTAGTTAAGGCCAGAATTGCGTGAGAACGCTACACAATGTGAAAAAATAGTACAAATGTAACATTGTACTGGGATAAGGTGTGCATATATTAAGAAAAAGGGCTTCTTCTAATCGAGCAACTGAAAGTTGCTGATGGCTTGCGCCATCTATTTCTTGATTATCAAGAATCGGTATTTGGCCAATTCTGGAGTAATTAAAAACCAACGAGAATAGTTGATATTTATTCCGATAGATGGCGCAAGCCATCAGCAACTTTCAGTTGCTCGATAAAAAGAAGCCCTTTTTCTTAATTTATGCACCTTATCCCAGTACAATATTGCATTTGTACTATTTTTTTCACATTGTGTAGCGTTCTCACGCAATTCTAGCCTTAACTACCCGTTTCATGATTTTTCAGGATGCCTAATAACTAGGGCTTCCAATCACGGTGCATATTTTCAATTCCGGGATTCGGGATTGCTTTTTTCTAAATCCCGGGATATCCCGGGATTGAAAAACATTTTCGTCTTTCTACGCCAAGAGGTATATCGCTTCGTTCGTTATATTTTTATTTTTTTTCTTTTATATAGGGCCAATGACGTGGCAATTACTTCGATGAAAACAACCTGAAAGCCATATATTTTGCGCCTGCTTATGAACTAAATCATTGCTTTTGGGTTACAGTTTGAAATTATCTGTCAATTACTGTACACACATCTGGAAAAAAATTACTGTTCTTGGAACTCTTAGACCACATCTCTTAATGCAGTATTGGGCAGTAATCCATTCAAAGTAATACATTACCTTGTAATTACGATTACTTTGCAATGCATTACTTTGAAAAAATATTAATTGCATTAGAATGTAAACATAATTACTCATAATTCTATATATAATGATAGCAAATGTAATTAAAATTACTTGTAATTGTAATTATAGCAAATGTAATCATTATTATTTGCAATTGTGATTATAGAAAATGTAATCATTATTGCATTTTGCCCAACTATGTATTAATGTTTAGAAAGAAGACAAATCATATTTGAGTAGGATGCGGAGTCTGGTGTAGGTGTTGCAATTGAAGTTGAAGTGGCAGCCTCAATAGCTTCTTGCAATCGGCGCTCTATTGTAAGATTGTCATTCGATTGTGATGGCTCATAGCGTTCTTGTAAACTCCGAGGAAGTTGCGAATTATCAGTCTGAATTCTTACTTCGGCCTGTAACGGTTTAAGACGCAAAAGCAATTTCACGCTAAAGTCTTTGACCATCTTCTTTTTTTTTTCTAACTGTGCTTGCGGATTGTGCAGATACTGGAGGAATAAAGATGTTTTATTGCACCGCTCTTCTAAAATTCTCTTTTGAAAAGTTTTTGCAGATCTTTGCTGAGAGAATGAGATTGTGCTTGCAGCTCCTCTAGAATAAACTTTACTGTTGCTTCTGCAGTCAAAAGCGTAGCGTCGCGTCTACAGATAGCCGCCACAGCTGCCCGAAATGGTTTCAGTGCGGAAATTACTTGCGTCATGATATCAAAATCTTCATCAATTAGACGGACATTTGCATTCACATCTATTAGCGCCTTCTGAATCGCTGACTTCACACTGAGAAGTCTCTCCTACATGTTCAATAAACTATCCCAGCGCGTTCTGCAGTCGAGAATGAGACACGTACTGGTGGAAATGCGATTATCTTGCCGCATGTAGTTCAGTCCAGATAAGAGGTTAGTGGCGGGTCCATGTTACACGCAGGTCCGCCACAAAAATAAAGGGATGCCGCTACTATCTAAGAAGCCACTATTTTCATGTCAACAAAAACTGGGGCCCCCTCCATGTATACTGCTGCATACTCTCATTCTAGAGGCTGTCATTTTGGAAAGATCTTGCGGAATAACCCTTCGATATTAGTGCATGAAAATAATTTCAATTCTCTCAGAAAAAAAAAGACCTGAAATGCAGCTGTATAAACAAAACGTCCAAAATTGTGCTATCCCATCATCTGTTTGATTATCAAAATGCTAGATAATAAAAATATATTTTTGCGCTGGTTTTCATGCACAAACCAGTAATCCCGGATTTTTCGAGCAGAATCCCGGGATTTCGGGATCATTATTTGGCTCCGGGATCCCGGGAAACGGGATCCCGGGATTGGAGGCCCTATTAATGACCAATTTTTGGTCGTTGAGGTACAGCTTGCACCACGCTGATGAGGGCCAACAGCCCGAAACGCGTCCGTGGTTATCTTTTCTTGATTAATCAAAAATCGGTATTTGGCCAATTCTGAAATAATTAAAAATCAACGAGAATAGTTGATATTTATTCCGATAGATAGCGCAAGCCATCAGCAACTTTCAGTTGCTCGATAAAAAGAAGCCCTTTTTCTTAATTTATGCACCTTATCCCAGTACAATATTACATTTGTACTATTTTTTCACATTGTGTAGCGTTCTCACGCAATTCTGGCCTTAATTACCTGTTTCATGATTTTTCAGGATGCCTTAATGACCAATTTTTTTTGTTCGTTGAGGTACATTAGGGTTAGTGCTTTAAAAGTTTTCGCTTCGTTTAGTCGGCATACATGAATCCTGCCAAGAAGAAAAAGAAGGCCTACGAGCCCATCGTGAACGTCGCCGACCTGGAGAGGGAAGATGAGATGGTGATCTCACGCAACTGCAGCATCCTGAGCTCCATTGGCCATCCTGCCCTGAAATCCCTGCATGAGGACCTGATCCGCTACATCGCCTCGCGGACTGAAATGATAAAGGCCCTCGCTACTGAAGTAGAGAACCTCACTGACACCCTCGAGTCCTTCGCAGAGTTGGACGAAATTGAGGAGGCCAACAAGCCCAAGACTGCTTGCCGCGGCACTCAAACCTGCCCTGCTCCTTCCTGCAAGGAAACCAGCTCCCAGACTGACCCAATCAAGCCCGCCACTCCTGCTCCTGCTGCTCTCCCCGCCAAGAAACCTGCCTCCACCTTGCCTGCTCCTGCTCCAACCAAAAGGAAGCAGTCTGAGGCTCCCAACCCGCCTGCAAAGAGGACAAACCTGAATGGTTCTTCAAAACCTGCGCCTTCCCGCGTATCCAAGCCTGCGGCCGCCCAAGTGATCCTCCATGGAGAAAAATCGGCGGCCCACACAGTGGTCATCTCTGATGACCCACAGGCTGACCCAAGGGAGATGCTAAAAGCTGTCCGCGCTGCCCACACTCTCCCCCAAGGCGTTTGGGCCTCCCTGCACACCAAGGGGAAGCTGGTCCTCCACTCCAGTAATCCTGACACCATCCCTGAGGTGACAACCTCCCTGGCCAGCAAGTTGAATGGAATGAAGGTCCGCCAGCAGAAGGAGATCCTGCCACGGATCTGCCTCTTCAAAGTGGATGAGGAGACATCCAACTCCACAATAGAAGAGACCTTCCTGGAAACCGCTGCTGTTAGAAAACTTCTTGGGGACAAGGTGGTGCGCGTGGCGCACCGTTCTGCACCCAGAAGCGGGACCTTCACCGCCTTCATCGAGGTGGACCTCAAGACCTTTAGAGCCCTGGGCGTTCGCGGGAGGATCGTGGTGGATGGAGTAATCCTCAACTTCGAGGAGTCCATCCGCGCCCGCGTCTGCTTCCGCTGTTTTGGCTTCGGCCACAACTCTGCCCAATGCACCAGAGCTCCTAAGTGCTTCCACTGCGGTGAAGACGGCCATGAAGGCCGCACCTGCCCATCCATTGCTGACCAGCGCACCTCCAAATGTGCCAACTGCTGCTCCAAGGGCCTTCCTGACAAGCACGAGGCGAGAGCCTCAAGCTGCCCCATCCTGAAGTCTAGGGCCCTCAAGCTCTAGGCTTC